AGCCTTCCAAGTATCTAAATTCCCAAAATCGGGGGACGAAAGGTTTGGTTGTGTTTGTTGCTATTGAAGATCTGTGTCTTCGTATGATTATGTCCTATTAAGGAATTTGTGATCAGCGTTTTCAAGGTTGAGACTTGGGAGATATATAAAGCTAAAGTTTCGATTTTTATTCCGGTAGCTGCAAGAAGATTTGTTGCTGTTTTAGAGGGTTTTTGATTGTATCTGATCAAGGAGAATGAGTCGTAGGGTACGGAGAAAATTGGAGGAGGAAAAAGGGAAAGATAAGGTTGTTGTTTTGCCAAGTTATCCTGAGACTAGCATTAGCAATGAGGATTTAGTAGCTCCTCAGCTTCTTCATGGTTTTGTTGATTGGACTAGTCTGCCTTATGACACAGTTCTTCAGTTGTTTACTTGTTTGAATTATCGTGATCGAGCTAGCTTGGCATCCACTTGTAAGACATGGAGATGTCTTGGTGCTTCTTCTTGTTTGTGGAGTTCATTGGATCTTCGTCCTCACAAGTTTGATGCTTCAATGGCAGCTTCTCTTGCTTCTAGGTGTGTTAATCTTCATAACTTAAGGTTTCGTGGTGTTGAGTCAGCTGATTCCCTTATACATCTCAAAGCTAGGAATCTACTTGAAGTAAGCGGCGACTATTGCAGGAAGATAACTGATGCCACATTGTCAATGATCGTGGCGCGACATGAGGCACTTGAGAGTCTCCAACTTGGACCTGACTTTTGTGAGAAGATCACTAGTGATGCTATAAAAGCTGTAGCCTTTTGTTGTCCAAAGCTTAGAAAGCTTCGCCTTTCTGGGATAAGAGATGTTACTTCTGAAGCCATTGAAGCTCTGGCCAAGCATTGTCCACAGCTCAGTGATCTCGGGTTCTTAGATTGTCTAAACATCGACGAGGAGGCTCTCGGAAAAATGGTATCTGTTCGGTACCTTTCTGTTGCTGGGACATCAAACATAAAATGGTCAACTGCATCAAATAGTTGGGATAAGCTTCCGCAGTTAACCGGTTTGGATGTCTCGAGGACTGACATTGGACCCACAGCAGTTTCTAGGTTCTTGACATCTTCGCAGAGCTTGAAAGTATTGTGTGCTTTAAACTGTCATGTCCTCGAAGAGGATACAAGTTTCTTTAGCTCCAACAGATTCAAAGGAAAAGTCTTACTTGCTCTGTTTACTAATGTTTTCGATGGACTTGCTTCTATATTCGCCGATAAGACAAAGAAACCAAAGGATATCTTTGCCTATTGGAGAGAGTTGATGAAAACAACCAAGGATAAAATCGTTGATGACTTTATGCATTGGATCGAATGGATTATCTCTCATACGCTTCTACGAACTGCAGAGTGTAATCCACAAGGATTGGATGATTTCTGGCTGACTCAAGGAGCTGCATTGCTGCTTAATTTAATGCAAAGCTCACAGGAAGATGTCCAGGAGAGATCAGCTACTGGGCTTGCAACTTTCGTAGTTATCGACGATGAGAATGCTAGTATAGACTGTGGAAGAGCTGAAGCAGTTATGAAAGATGGAGGTATCCGTCTTCTTCTAGAACTTGCGAAATCATGGCGAGAAGGGCTTCAGTCAGAAGCTGCAAAGGTTGCTTCTTCTTCTTTTATTCATATTGGAATTTTGATACTTTTGACTGGACCCACTAACATTGTTTTTTATCTGATTTTAGGCTATTGCAAATTTGTCGGTAAATGCTAATGTTGCAAAGTCTGTTGCTGAAGAAGGAGGAATCAAAATTCTCGCTGGTTTGGCAAAGTCAATGAACAGACTTGTGGCTGAGGAAGCTGCTGGTGGACTATGGAATCTCTCAGTCGGAGAAGAGCATAAGGTAAATCCTCTAATTATCTATAAGATTCTTGTTGTTACTCTTGATTTTTCAGCTCTCAATTTTTTTGTTTTCTCTATTAGAATGCAATTGCTCAGGCTGGAGGAGTGAAGGCACTGGTCGACCTTATATTTAGATGGCCAAATGGCTGTGATGGAGTCTTGGTACGCTTTCGCCACCTTGAAGCTTCACCTTTTTGCTTTGTTTCAAAATCAAACAAAATCTTTCTATTTTATTACCAAAATACCGTCTACAATTTTTTATCATTACTAAATTTAAAAAACTACTAAAAACGGATTAGTCCTTGGATGTTTATGTAAATCCATTTCTTAAGAAGTGGTAGTTTCGATAAATAATTTTTTTAAGTGGCACTCGCGATAATACTTAGTTAAAAAGTGTCATTTTTGGATATTTCCCTTCTTCCTATATGGAGGATTTACCTAATTTGTGTGATTAGGAACGAGCTGCAGGAGCATTAGCAAACTTAGCAGCAGATGATAAATGCAGCATGGAAGTCGCAACAGCGGGAGGCGTACATGCCCTTGTGATGTTAGCTCGTAATTGCAAGTACGAGGGAGTGCAAGAACAGGTAAATTCAGTTTCTTTATTTTACAAAATTTCTTTGTGAGTTGAGTTTGTGGTTTAACACTGTTTTTATTTTCCAGGCTGCTCGTGCTTTAGCTAATTTGGCTGCTCATGGAGATAGCAACAATAATAATGCTGCGGTTGGACAAGAAGCAGGTGCACTAGAAGCTCTTGTCCAACTTACACAATCGCTTCATGAAGGAGTTAGACAAGAAGCTGCTGGTGCTCTATGGAATTTGTCGTTTGATGATAAGAATCGAGAATCTATCGCTGTAGCTGGTGGTGTTGAAGCTTTGGTATACTACCAGTTTGTTTAGTATGATTACATTGTTCATCTGCATATGTAAGGGGAATTGATCACTTTTGTTGATTATTTTAGGTGGTGCTCGCGCAGTCTTGTTCAAATGCATCGACAGGTCTTCAAGAAAGAGCTGCTGGTGCGCTTTGGGGATTATCGGTGTCAGAAGCAAACAGGTGCTAAAAACATTCCGAGTCTAAGTTTTATGCTTTGCGTATATAGATTGTCACGTGATATGTTTAAGATCAATGCAGAAGCAACATAAGGACAGACCATCTTGCTTTAACATATCACACACTTGCTGATAATTTTTATTTTGCTTGCACCCACAGTTGAGGCTTTGGTTAGCAGAAAAGTTATAAGGAGTTTCTGATCAATTTATTGTTACTGTCATTTTCCTTGATAATGATCCTGCCATTGCTCTTTTTTTCTTTTATCTTCATTAGCGTTGCGATTGGACGTGAAGGTGGGGTTCCACCTCTAATTGCACTTGCACGGTCTGAAGCTGAGGTAAGAAATTTGTTCTCAGGTCTTGTTGCTTTGAGCTTAGCCATCTGGGATAATCTGATTTAAAATTTCCTCAATGTGTTGGTTTTTTTTTCAGGATGTACATGAAACTGCAGCAGGAGCTCTGTGGAATCTTGCTTTTAATCCTGGTAATGCACTCCGCATTGTTGAGGAAGGAGGAGTTCCAGCTCTTGTTCACTTGTGTTCGTCTTCTGTCTCAAAAATGGCTCGATTTATGGCTGCATTGGCTTTGGCATACATGTTTGATGGAAGGTATATTTATATATAACTCAGTTAATAATCATCCCAAATTCAATCCGACCCTCACGGTTTTTGATATGTTTTCGATCTGAATTATCAATGTGCAACAGGATGGATGAATACGCTCTGATGATAGGAACTTCTTCATCAGAGAGCACATCTAAAAGCATTAGCTTAGATGGGGCAAGAAACATGGCTCTTAAACACATTGAAGCTTTTGTTCTAACTTTTATAGATCCTCACATCTTTGAATCTCCTGTTGTTTCATCTACCCCTACTATGTTGGCACAAGTCACAGAGAGAGCTCGCATACAAGAAGCTGGCCACTTGAGATGCAGGTTAATCTTTTCTCCTCTATCTACCACTATCGCGGTGTCTTGTGTTTGATTGAAAACTGATTTGAAATTTTCAAATGTATTGCTTTCTTTGCAGTGGTGCTGAAATTGGAAGATTTGTAACAATGTTGCGGAATCCTGATTCGACACTCAAAGCATGTGCTGCGTTTGCGCTTCTTCAGGTATGTAAATATGTGAAAACAAACATTGTGTCGTGTTTTTGTTGGTTAACAACTGATGCATATTTCCTTTTTGTTCTTTCTCTCATTCAGTTTACCATACCGGGTGGTCGTCATGCAATGCATCACGTAAGCCTGATGCAGAATGGAGGAGAGTCGAGATTCCTTCGTTCTGCAGCTGCTTCTGCAAAAACGCCTCGTGAAGCTAAGATCTTTACGAAAATTATCCTACGCAATCTCGAGCATCACCAGGCAGAATCTTCCATTTAAGCCTTTTAGAAAAATTGATAGTGGAAAAGTCCCATTTACTTAGAATACCTCTGTATCTCAAATACACAAGAAGCCAAAGCCAAGCCATACTGCAAAACCACAAACTCTCAAGATGGATGCTTTATCAGACCAAGAATGTCCTCTCTGTGTGATTTTCATGAGACTTGTGTTCTTCTTTATCGCATTTTGAGATTTTTTCCTGTAGTAACAGGTCCAAAGGATTGGAAGGTGATGTTTCTTCTATCTCCTATCTTGTTCATCATTCCTTTTTGGCTCTGTTCATTTCTTGTGACATATATATTTGACTTTTACCGAAAGAAAAAAAGCTTGACCTTTTGAGAATTTTGCAACACTTGATGATACAGGCCAAGCTCTCTCTGATCCAAGGCATATTGAATTTCTAGCGGAAACTGGATTGACCATATTACCCTCCGCTCTGTTATTCCCTTAGATAAATCATATGGGCTTATTAAGTAGGCCCAATAACAATTGGCTAGTTTATTTACTTTTTTCCATTATTGTCAACACGTAACATCAAGAATTGATGAGCGATAACTATTTACGTCCAACATTGTTTCTCTTTTGAAAACCTGAAACGTTAAGTGACAGAAGCTCTGTTTTCATGAGCTTGTGTGTGTGTAGCCGTGTAGGTTGAATTATTGTTTCTCTCTCTCATATTAAATCTCCATAATATCTTTCGCTCCTCTGCTCTATCTCTCTCTTAACACTTAATTCTGCCATGGAAGTAGCAGCTGAAAGGATCTCAACTCAAAACGAGAGAACGGAGAAGATGAACACTCAAGGTTCCAAAGGAGATCTCATTCAGAAGTTTTTCAGAGTCTATATACCAAATTTCACCGAAGATGACATGGTACGTTGCCTCTCTCTCAGTCTCTCTACCTCTCTCTCAAAATTCAGAGCAGTCTCGCTCTGTTTTTGCAAGATCTTGCCTTTTTTTCCGAGTTTAAGATGATAAAAATCTTAGCTTTACCAAAACATTTTGTGGTTTAGGTTGTGTTTTATGTGAAAAATCCACCGGTAGTATGATATGTTTTTGAAGTTATGTTCTGTTTCTTTGAATTAAAGAGTGAGGGATTTGTTTCTGTTTCTACAGAATCTACCATTTGTTTCGGACAAGATCTTAGGAACACCTCTTCCTCGGAAAGTGACCGTGAAAAGTGTTTCATCGGGAAACATTTGGAGGATGGAAATGACAACAAACGGTGAGAGTGACACTGTGTTTCTCCGAGACGGATGGAAGAAAATCGTCGAGGACGAGAATCTGACAGAGCCAACATTCTTGGTGTTTGAATTTGATGATTCTTGTGTAATCCATTTCTGCGTGTACGAGCACGATTCAATGTGTAAAAGAATAAGATCTCCAATGGGAAAAGAAGTGATTGAAGTGGAGAGTGACGAAGAAAATGAAGAAGACGATGATGATGTGATTGTGGAAGATGAAGATAGTACAAAAGGGTTTTATGAGTCGCCAACAAGAAAAGATAGAGGTATTAAAAAGACTTAACGTTTTTTGAGGTTTATATAAAAAAACCGGTTAATGTTCTGTTTCCAAATAATTTGACAGGTGGTACGAGTAGGAGATGTTGGTATTTGCAGACAGATAGTCATAAGTTTGATGAATATCTAGACAACAAACTAAGTCCATCTTTTCTGGTTGATATGACTCAGAAGAGAACGGTAAGAAAACGAAATGTGATAGTTTTTTTTCTTCTCCAAATGACTACAATATGGTTTGCCATTTCATTATGATGAGTCCATCAACTGGTTCTGATTTTGCAGTGCATACCTGCTGTGCTTATACACGATTACAACTTGACATTTCCCAACTTGGTCATTGTGCGTGACAAGATTGGGAAATTGAAGAGGAGAATCTCGATTTGGAAGAACGGATCTGTGTGTCTTAATGGAATCGACAGTATCACTCGAAGGAATCATGTGAAGCGAGGTGATAAAATGTTATTCGAACTAAAGACGGTCGATGGTTATCATGGTCTGGTTCGTGAAATCAAGGTCCACATTATCAAATGCTGATCACATGATGTTCTATCTTAGAAATGTTGATTGAGATGTATAGGTTAATCTTTGTCGTTGTGTTGAACATGTTAGGTTTCGCTGTGTTTTCTACTTGACTCTAACAAGCAATCTTTTATGATTTTACTGTTAAGATATATTTATCAAGAACATAACTTAGTGTTGAGGGTGAGACAGTTTTTCAAACTACAACAGATGCGAGATACAACCTAAGTAAAATTCAAGGATAGACGAGGAAGAGAGATCTTTGGCCGGGAAGGAGATGAGTTGGTTTCTCCTTGTTCTATCCACACTTGCTTTGAGGGCAGATGATGTGGACGAGTTTGTTGAGAACATCCTAGAGTTAAGTTCTTTCCAGATGGTGTAAGTGGTGTGACCTATAAGAGGAGCTTCATGATCGTAGTTTCCGCTTGACGAGTAGCCATGAGGTGAGAGGAGGATTGGTAACGATTCTTCCTGCAACCGATTGCCAGATCGATGCAGAGAAATCACATTCAAAAAGAAAGTGGGTATGAGTATCTGAATCTGTAGAGCAGAGAACACAATCTGAAGGAACCGTCTTTCCCCAGCTTGGAACTAGCTAAACAATCTTGATCCTATACAGCAACCAACTTCTGTAGAGAACTTGCTGTTCTTTTGCCTGATGTTTCATCATACGATCTGATGATCTGTGTGCCTTAGCTCTCTGAGTCCATTGGTCTGAACATGGAGGTTCACTCTCTTAGAATGCCGCTACTAACTCTTATCGCCCCAAGTATATCATATTGAAACTGTGAGTTCCTTTCACCAGTTGGCCTCCTCCTCTTTCATGTGCATAAGCAGCTTCTCGAGAACCAAATGTATGCTTCGCCGATGAGGATGGGTTGTATCTCCTGATATAAACTCAGAAACGATATAATTTATCTCAATCAAGCTACATCCAACCTCTTTCTTGGCTTCATTTTTCCTCATCATGTTTTTCACCATCCCGAAATCGTCCCATCTTTTATCTGCAGCGTACAAGTTCCTCAACAGAACATAATTCCCATCATTCTGAGGCTCCAATTCCACTGCCTTCTTCAGAATTCTCTCTGCCCTTTCTATATCCTTGTATTGACCACATGCAGACAAGAAAGAGCTTAGAATTATACAGTTTGGCTCAAAAGGCAAGTTTGTAATCAAATCCTCTGCTTCTTTTAGGTTCCCTGCTCTGCCTAGTAGATCAACCATACAGCCATAGTGCTCAATTTTAACATTCAGGCCAAATTTTCTCATCATTTGGAACCACTTTCTTCCTTCCTCCACTAATCCACCATGATTACAAGCTGAGATAACTGCAAGCATTGTGATCTCATCTGGCTTTTCTTCTTTCGCCATTGTTAAGAATAGATCCAAAGCTGCATGTGCATTCCCATTCAAAGCATACCCATGTATCATAGCATTCCAAGACGCTACTTGTTTCTCTGGCATCTCATCAAAGATTCTTTTCGCCTTCTCTATCTCCCCGCATTTTGAATACATATCAAGAATTGCTGTACACACTTTCACCTTCTTATCGAGATTTTTCCTCTGCACAAAACAGTGACACCATTCACCGAGACTGAGAGCACCAGTATCAGAAATAGCTGGTAGCACACTCAAAATAGTCACATCATCCGGATCCAGCGAGGTGGTTGCCTGCATTTCCTGAAACAATCTTATAGCTTCTTGAGGTTGCTTATTCTGACAGTATCCTCCTATCATTGTGTTCCAAGAAACTAGGTTCCTCTCTGGCATTGCATCAAACAACTTCCTAGCGGAGTCTATGTCATTAATGTTGCAGTAACCGTGAATCATAGTGGTCCAAGTGACGACAGTTTTAGTTGTCATCTCATCAAACAATCTTCTAGCAGAGGTCATATCACCAGATTTAACAAAACCATCCATCATTGCGTTATATATCACAACATCTTTAACTTGAGGCATCTCATCAAATAGCTTACTCGCCAAATCCAGCTCCCCAAACCTAACATACCCACAGATTAGAGCCGTCCAAGAAACCTCACTTCTCTGAGGCATTTCATCGAACACATTCCTCGCACATCCCATCTTCCCAAATTTAGCATACATATCAACAACTCCAGTCGAAACATACATATCTGCACAAAACCCAGATCTCCAAATTTGGCTATGCAACTGTAAACCTTGATAAACACTCATACTCATAGTGCATGACTTTGTCAAAGTCGTGAAAGTAAAATTGTCAGGAGCAAAACAAGTCTCTTTCCTAAGATCTCTGTAAATAGCAAACGAATCATTATACTGACGAGTTTCGAGATAGGCCTTGATCATGGAGTTACAAAGGAAACTGTCTTCTCTCTGAGGCCTTTGATCGAACAACTTACGGGCATAACCAATCCCAACAACCGACGCAGAAATAACCAAGAATTTAGTGAAGATTTGAACGTTAGTCTCAATGGCGTGACGGAGCATAAAAGCATGAACCTGAAGAAGAGAGAATCTTCCATGTCGTTGACATTGTTGGAGAAGATTAAAGAATTTTCTCTCAGTCGGATTCCATAGCTGTTGAGTCTCTCGCTCGTATAACATCATCTTGTTGCAACTAACTTTTTGTAATAATTCATATTTTAGTTAAATCTATTCTTGGTTATTGTATTAAAATCAAAAATCCGAACCGAATAAATATTTTAGAGCAAAACACTATGTTGATTGTTGCAGCTTACCTTGAGCCATAATTACCGCATTAATGGGCCGACATACATAACAATTAAACAATTGGGGTTAACATCAATATTAGGCTATGGGCCTCAAACTAAACTTTATGTTTTCATATTTAATTTATTTATTGAGGGCCACAAAAGAAACGACGACGTTTCTAGGTGTTTGATAAACCCTAAACGATTTATTCCTAGTCCTCTTCTTCTCTTTAGACCTCTTTTCTTTTGGGGGCTCTAAAGCGAAACCCTTGCTTGAAATCGCTCTCGCAAATTAGAAGAATCACTGTACAGGTTTGCCGCAAAATCTCAAATTGCTTCTCTTTTCATTCCATTCTCCTAAACCTATCTCGTTAGTTTGGTCTTCTCTTTGTTATGATTTTTTTTCATATTTGTTGAAATCTAGGATTTTTGTATGTTGAAATTTGCATGTTATATATATCCTCGGACGAATTTTTGACTAGTATTCTTGAATATCTGTTCACTGAAACCGTGAATTTAGATAAAAATTGAAACTTTGTCTTTCTGCTTCGTAGTTTGTATTATAAGTAAGCAACTTTATTTCTGGGAAAGTATCTTCCTTTTTTCGTTTGTTTGTTGTCAATTTTTGTGGTTTGAGTTTTTCAGTTGTATATGTCTTAACTTTTCAACAGTCTCTTGTAGGGTTTTCCAAGACGGGGCAAAATGAGATTGGTCAAGTGTTGGTTTTGCTCTTCCACAATATATCCTGGTCATGGTATTCAGTTTGTCCGCAACGATGCCAAGGTAATTAATTTCGGATAAATCCTTATCAAGCTGCTTTAATTAACAAGACATAGTTTGCTTGAGATTCATATTACATAGTACTCTTAGATTCTATATATGTGAATGTCTCCTTGCTCGTATCTTGCTAGGTTCTCTAGCTTAAATGACCAATTTTGATTTATGTCTGTTATTTGTTTCTGTCTATTCTTACAATTAGTGTTTCAAAACTTAAGGCGTCTTTGGCTAGGATTTTAGTATATAAGAGGTCTACAAATGTTCTGAGCATAAATGTTAATCAAACACCTCATTGTTTGTTTGTCTTGTTATCGGTTACCTTTGTTTCCTTTGCAGATTTTCCGGTTCTGTAGGTCGAAATGTCACAAGAACTTCAAGATGAAGAGAAACCCGCGTAAAGTGAAATGGACTAAAGCATTCAGAGCTGCACACGGGAAGGATATGACTAAGGTACATGTTAATTTGAGCAAAAGTTTTTCTTTGTTTCCTTGGGGTTATCTAGTTGATGCTCACCCTCCTACTTGTCTTTCTTTGTTTCCTTTACCCTAAAAGGATAAAACATTTGAGTTTGAGAAGAAGAGAAACAGACCTGAGAGATACGACAGGAACGTAACCGAGAATACACTCAAGGCCATTAAGAAGATTGATAAGATCAGAAGCGCAAGGGAAGCCAAACATATCGAAAATAGGTATACATTCCTTCTTCCTCTTCTAGTCTCCTACAAATCCTGAGACTCTGTTTTTGATTATGATTGTTTTGTTTTGTTTTTTGTGTGGGACTTAGGTTGAAGCCAAACAAACAGAAGAAATTCCTTGACGATAAAAAAGAACATGAGCAGCACATTCATCTTGTCCAGGCTCCCGGGTCAGTTACAGGGAAGATCAAAGTTGATGTTTCCGAAAAGAAGTCTGTTCAAAACGAAGCCATGGAAGAGTGATTCTGTGGAAACATTATGATCCCTTTAAAAGCCACTCACTTACTCTGAAGCTGGTGTCATCTTAAAGAAAAAGCCTTCTTTAGTTTCTCTTTCCATTTGTTTTTGGAGGTCTTTAAAAAAGAAAGTTTTGGTTTTTGTACTGATAAATTGACTTTTAGTTGCTTTCATTTTGCAATGTATTATTATTATTACTTTCTGATAGAAAACAAACTGAGTTAAGAGTAATATTATGTCTTTATCTTCTTCAGTGGTGTCAATGTGTCATGGTTGTTTTCGTTTTATATAAAGCTACACTATTTTTTAGCGCTATTAAAGACACTCATGCCATTTCATATAGTTTTATTCATCCTGTTAACATAGACGAAGTGACATTTATCATGCAAATGTTTAAGAGACATCCATAGCATCAATTATCTGAAAGTGCATTTGCAAATCAGGAAGTCTATCAGAAAAATAGAACCTTTCACAGACCTGTAGTTTCCTACCGGAATTTTCAGTTTCAGCTTCGAGCAAACGAACCAACTCATCTTTTTCCTTGCGAATCCAGCCACGCTGCTCATCACACCACTGCCTAGGAGTTCCATGAATGACAATCCGTAGCGAGTCTGCTCCTCGTGCAAGGCGTTGAGAGATTCTCTGCACGACATTGTGATCAGTAATGTAGGCCCCTGAAGAGTTCAGCCCTACATCGATATAATGAACTTCAGAAATGCTGTTGAGGAAACTTTCTTTGGAGGCTGGAATGATCTGAATCTTTTCATGCTGGCTCGTAGGTTCTTCTACCGTTGCAGATGTAGTTTCCGCAAAGTTTGTATCCAAGGAACTGATCTCACTCATGAGCTGGTTAATCACAACTCCACCTTTGCTAAATCCAAGAACAATAGTTCTGGGACAGTGATGAACTGATGCAATCTGGTTTATCAAACACACTTCTTTGCCTTCCTTCAAAATGAGGTTCTTTGCCTCCTGGAGGCAACTAGATAAGAGGGAGACAATTGATGAAGAAGCTGGGAAGCCAAATGGGGAATAAGATTTTGGTGCTCCCTTGTGATTCACTGATGGAACAAAGTCTTTGTAGATAGCAAATGGTCCATTAAACACAGAAGCTTCAACAACCCAAGCATTAACAGAGTTGCCAAATTTAGAAACAATGATTTCAGCTACTTTCTGCAGATTATAAAGCCTCTCAATCACATGATTCCCAGTGTCTTGAACTTTGTCACCATGAAAGAATATTGCATTTGCAGAAGGCACCTGCTGATCAAAAATGAAGTTTTTTTTTTTAATGAGCATATAATAAAGCTAGGATTTTTATACTGAAAGTTAGGAATAGAGAATATAAGAGAGAAAGTGGTACTCACAGTTGGAGTTGTGGAAGAAGAAGAAGAAGAAGAAGAAGAAAGGCAAAGAGATGCTGCAACTCTGTAGTAGTTGCTAGTAGTAGCATCCAACGGAATCTTCAAAACGCCGGACCATCGTTCCATGATCAAAATAAACTCTGAACTCAATTCTTTTCAAACAAACATAAAGCAAGTTAATCGATTAGAGATGTGACTGACAACATTCATTCGGGAATTTTGACGAACACCTGGTGTGCAAGCCAAGGAAAAAAAAAAGAGACTACAGAGAGAAAACGTGATTATTGTGATCAATGCCCATTATAATGATTAGTGATTCAAATGGCGATATCTTTGTTGGGGGTAATTAATCAGCATGATCCATATAACATTCTTTGCATTTGAAAGAGTAAATCATTTTATAATCAATTTGTAAAACTAAAGGAAATTGACTTAGCCAAACACAGGATTCTCACTGGTCCACTTTTATCCAAGACATATCTTCTTGATATGTTATAATCATTTTAGGGCTAATTAATTTCAATGCTGTTTGACTTGTTGGCCAAGAAAGCAAGGTTCGTTAACCCTAATCCTAACTCCTTGTCGTTCGTTCGAGATGTCCAAGTTTATCCTTGTGAAGTATTTTCATATTTTAGGGTAGTAAATGGTATGTATAATTGTGCATTTATAACCTCTAAATGATAGTTTAGAGTTAGTTATTAGGTAACACGTGTATTAAAGTAGAAGGGTTAAGATTGTTGAACTAACTTTACTAACAATCCTTGAATTTTCAAAATAATCTTTAAAAAACACATTAAGTTGAACTAACAAAAGCTCAAGCCAACCATACAGAAACCGTAAAATACACCTACCAAAAACCTTGTACGAAAAGTCTTTGTAATCCTTAGAGACTCTTGCCACTATATAAACTTAATCGCATATCTTTGAATTTCTCATCAACACAAAGCAATACAAGTGAAGCATTTAAGGAGGCTTAACCATAATTAGAGGTTCATTAACACACACCAAAATGGCATCATACAAGCTCTTTCTCATTGCTTTTTTAGTGAGTCTCTCTTCCTCGACCATGATCAACACTTGCTCGGCCTCACGAAAAATTCTCCAGCAACAACCTCTTCCTCAAATCCCAAATCTGCCTATCCCGACAATGGGACTACCTCCATTGCCATCAACTTTGCCACAACCATCTCTACCAACTCTTCCCACAATGCCCACTGTAACGTCTCCATTTCCAATGCCATCAGCTTTGCCACAACCAAACTTTCCCACAATTCCCACTGCAATGCCTCCAATGCCAACTTTGCCTTCATTTCCGACAATAATTTCTTCTCTTCCGACTAATCTCCCATCCATTCCATTCTTCTCTCCACCGCCTTCTACATCTACATCGAGTCCTTGAATTATCACTTCATGTGATTGATGTATCTTCTTTTACTATACTATTGTTGTAAGGAGTTGTTTCATTGTGGTGTGTTTTGGTTTGGTTTAATTACGCACTATCAATATGTTGTATTTTGGAATGTTTGTGTGATAACCTAAATATTCTTATAAAGGGAAAGAATTCTATGATGCTACTTTGTGATATCATTATTAATTAGTTTCACCAAGAGCAGAGGTTCACGGAATGTAATGATGTATTTCATTCTAGAGAATTTGTTTCTTTCATAAATATCGGGTAGATGACAATTGAGTAAATGGTTGGAACTCACTAATCAAATATATATATTCAACCTTCGTTTGAGAGAAGAGATTAAGAACCAATCAAAATTCCCCATTGCCTTCATTTAACCAAATATTCCGGCAAAAAGCGACCAAACCAAGAAAGAGGATTACCCTTCTAGGAAAGTCTAGCATTCTCCAAGTTTGGCGCATTTATTTAAAATCCGATCAGAAAAAAAGATCAAATTTATTTAGTTTTCTATAATCTCATTAACATCGCCCTTCATTAGCCAAGGCGAGTCTCAAGACTCAAGATGTGCTAATGTGAGACAAATGTTCAACAAACGAGGAAAAAAAAAGATTTCCACATGAATAAGAGTCTCAACATCAACTTAGGTGGTTTGAGTTTTCAAATTTTGCAAAAGTTGGAAGAACTTGCAATTTCTAGCCCTAAGAAGACATGTAAAGAACTAGGCTTTGATACTATACTGAATCAAGAGAGAGCTTGCAAAAAGGGAAACTATATCTCAATTCTCATTAATATTGTCAATTTGGTTATACTATATTAATCATTCAGTCACTAAAAAGTGTATATATATATATATATATATATATATATATGTATTTTCACAAGTTTTGAGTCCCTGAAAAAAGAAGAAAGAAAAATAGTTTTATTTGAGTATATATAGACGTTTATAACTTATTACTATGAAAACGAATTTAGGAGAAATTAAATATTTATTTTCAATCACATTACATACGATCATGACAACCCATCAACATCGACTTCCACAGCATGTAATGACTTTGTTTCAAACGGAAATTGGAATAACCGAAGAAATGTCTTCAAGATAAGCCTATCCAACTTTCCTAAAATGTTTATGGGTACAAATGCTGACAATTCAAACCGCTCAATAATTCCAAAAATGGAAAAAGACTAGCCGTGACAAAACGATAATAAAAACACACATGATACATCCTATATTTGATTGTTTTTTTTTTTTCTTATTTGTTAATTGATTGCATTAAATATAAACTGGTGGCAGGAAGGCTTGAGTTTTACAAAGCCCATTCTAGATAAACCCAAATAGAATACATTCTAGTATTCTACATTGATTGTTACTATGAATCGAATTTAGAAGAAAAAAAACAAACGTCCATATTTATTTTCCATCACATTACATATGATCATGATTATCAAACCCTCTTGAGTCATCATCGATCGATATTTTATAAAGGCAGCAAACTCGATGGACAAATTTTGCTTAATCTTAAAACTTTACTTAAAACTAATTATGTCCGATTATCAGAATAAGAATATTCTGATTGGTCCATTAATAAACTACCATCGAAGTAAAACTGATCTACCGTGAAATCCAACTCCGGAACAACCAAACTAGACTCGCCGTGGCTTTCCCTCTTCTGCTCCGACGTTAACTGATCGGAAACTGACGGCTCCGGCGAACGACGGCGAGGCCTAATCCTAACCGGCTCATACTTACAAGAACCAATCAAATGCGGAAAATTCAGCTTAGCTTTCGATCCTCTAAGCTGAAACGCCGCTCGGTCGTAAGCAACCGCCGCGTCCTCCGGCGTCTCGTAAGTCCCGAGCCAAACCCTAGCTCCGTTCTTCTTCGGATCCCTAATCTCCGCCGCGAATTTCCCCCACGGCCTCCTCCTCACTCCTCTGTACTGCATCCCCTTCTGCCTCGGCGCGTGCGAGCCACTCGCCGTCGCCGGAGGCTTCTCTTCTTCTCTAACGGAAACTTCCTCCGCCGGAGAGGTAACGGGAGGAACGGAGGGTGTCCATCCGGAGCTAACGGCGTCACGGAGAGTGTTGTAAATAGCCATGTCTTGTGAATCGTCGACACTTAACGGCAAATCACTCCAGTTATCGTTTAAGATAACGTTGCTGAAACTCGGGTTACGGAAGAACATCCGTGAGTTAACGCCGTTATTAACGGAATCGGATGAGCTTAACGAGTCGCTGTAATCAAAACCTGACATTAGTTAAATGGATTTTTGAATGCTTCTGAGTCGAAGAGAAGGTTTTTAGTGGATGCTTCTGAATAGAAGAGAAGGTTTTGATGAGAGTGTGGATTTTAGAGAGTGATCAAAGATGTTTTTGTCTGGGAGACGAATGAAGTGGAGAAGTAAGTACTTGTGAAGGAGATTATAAAGGTATGGAATGTGAGAAGGTCCATGGAAGGTTCTTTGAGGTTTTGAAACGATGTCGTTGATTTGATGATAGTTGTTTGTTACGTTCTTAGAAGATTCGTTTTGTTCTTTCTTTTTTTTGCCTCGTTCTTAAAATAGAACAGTGACAAAATTAGTTATTTATTTTTGTTTGGACTTTTGGTCGTTGGTCTTTCTTTTTCAGTATATTTGTCTTTCTTTTCTTCTTCTATATATGATCTTGTTCTTCGATATTTCTTTTTGTTGAGATGTTCTTTGATATTTTGTAACCCAAATTATAATAAAATGATAATCCCTACTTGATAATTTTATATAACTGATTCGGAAATTAGTTCAATTCACTTTTAGTGGCCTATCTGTACTCACCAAAATCTATCTATATTAAAGTTCTTTGACGAACAATCTTCTACAAATTTTTTTTTTTTTTTTTTGTATCTAGTGGATAACAAAAATTATGTTGGAAGCAGGAACATAAATGCATAATGATTTTCATGATTAAACAAATTCTTTTGGTTTTATTGTTTTGAATACCAAAAAGAGAGAGAGATAAAAATATAAAACCAAGTAACCAACAAAACAAATTGAACTATTGGAATACTTTTCGACCAATTTAACTTGTTTTCGTGCATGATCCAAAAACTATAGGTCTAATACCTGAAACTTTTTTTATTAAAACAGAATCCACCGGTTTAAGAACTAATCTAAACTCATATCTTTGGATGTAAATCAGAATACCTGTTTACTGCTAAAAATGATAGGTTAATTCACTTGATCTTCTTTTGCCATTGGTTTATTAAAGTCAAATTTAATAACTTTGTCAATATTCAACATGGAACATTTTTGAGAGAAGAGCTAATATATTTGCAACGTGCAACACAACAGTGTGGAAGTCAAGAAAGCTATGGAAATATCAAGATTCGTCTACGCGTTTAACAAAGTTTATTACTACATAATACAAAAAATTTCCGTATGGGGATTGAAATATAGGTAGTTTAGTTACCACCAATAAACAAACATTAGATTTAATATTCTTCGGTTTTTGTCAGGAATATAGTATAAGCTCTCAAAATTAAAACCAGTATTAATCAACTACCATTAAAAATATATAAATAACAGGAACGACACAATTTTCACGTGCTGAATGCAATAAAATATTAATAAGTCTGACGTCGAAAGGTAAAGTCGACCCACTGTGACTGTCAAAGACACGTTTTGTTTTGTTTTTTTTTTTTGGTAAAACAGACACGTTTTGTTAATTGCGACTTTCGTTTTATTCTCTCTAATCGTTCATTTCGTTGCAACAACATCTCTACACAGACCAATGAAAAACGTTATATATAGTATTTTTAGTTATCCGAATATAAAAACGTTAGTTCTCTTGTTTACGTATAAAAATGTCGTGCACATGTACGTGGGAAAGATGACATGAGGTTCCACTAAGCTTGATGGGTTTTGATACTGGGCCAAGGCACAAATAAGGTATGTATACCTTATGGGAAGCCCGTTAAAGTCGGCTTAATCAAAATCAGGTGGAGTAGAGTAGTAATGGAACCAACGTCCAACGCAACGATTTGGACTCTTATCATAAGACAACAGTCCACATGGCTGCTCCGGACACCAAAAAGACGAAATGTTTAATTAAATTTTATGATTTGTTTTTCAACGATGTTTACTATTTTGATTCCTTTCAACATAAATCTTTATTTAAAGAAAATCACTGTAGAAATGATTCCTTATTTATTTTAGTTGAATACTAGTTGAGAAGATTATAGAGAAAACAGTAAACTCAACATTAGTTAACATATAAATAAAAAAGCGTATTATATAGTATAACCTTTGATCGTTTTACCTATATGATCAATGATTCGTTTACACACTTCGAGAACAAATTAACCACTTTAGAATCATCGGAAAGCATCAAGAGCATGATCTATTCGAAGCTCTAAAATCTAAAAAATGTTGAATATTCGTAATGAAAAGATTACAACAAGAAGATAATACAAAAAGTTGTGCCTTTTTAAAGGAAAAAGAAAAAAAATTCAGTTGTGTCATTTTCGTGGGTAATGACGTCTCCACATACTTCATATCAATTGTTATCCAACTTTGTTTTTTCTTGTATATTTTACATTGTTTGTATTCAATATTCGTAACCACTTTATATATCTATTGAACACAAACAAGGTGAACCACGATAAATATTTTGCTTAGTGAAGTTAATTTTACAAAATAATACTAAATAAGTGGTACAAATTAAAGTAGGATAAATTTCTGGAAACAATCAAGCATCCATTAAAACTTAAAAGAGAAAAAGAATTAGATGCTCGTCCAGGGAGCATCCAAGCTCACTTTAGAAAAAGGTAGAACAATTTCTAATTATACTAAACTATTGTCTCCGATTTGTAATATTCTTTTTGGCCAAGGATTAATGATTTCTCAAAGAATTTCTAGTATTTCCTTTCTCGAATTTGTAATTACGTTTTTAATCCACTATCTTACCTAAACCACACTAAACGACAAAAAACATACCTCTAATACATGTTTTTCTTGCCATTAATTACATCGACATCAACCGACGCACCCATCTTAAACATTCATATGTATTTTCAAATTTAAACTCTTTCATTAAAATCTACTGGTCAATTTCGTATACTGCATTTAACAATAACTTAGTGGGAAATCAAATTTGTTATACGCTAAAGAAAAATAACAAATTGGAAAAAAAAACAGTCACTGACTCGTTATCAGTAGGACACTACTCACTGTGGAAAATAAAAAATAAAGTAGAAAAAGGAAACTTTATATATTAAAAATTAAACAGTCAAAAAAGAGTCCGATCAAGTGGAAACAGCTAAGAACTTTCTCTCCCATTCCTTTTGTGTGTGTGATTCTCTCTATTGACAAAATGCAGAACCTAACGGAGGTGACTCCACGCGCCGCCGATCGGTAACCGCCGTTTTAAGTACTCTCAGACGAGATAATCATGGGATGTGCAGCGTCGAAGCTCGATAACGAAGACACTGTTCGGCGATGCAAAGATCGCCGCCGTCTCATGTCGGAATCTGTTAACGCACGACATCACCTCGCTGCAGCTCACGCTGATTACTGTAGATCGCTTCGTCTCACTGGATCTGCTCTTTCTTCTTTCGCCGCCGGTGAGCCTCTAGCTGTATCAGATCAGACTCCGGCCGTTTTTCTTCATACTACTCCGCCGCCGTCTCAACACTCATCCGCCAAATTTGTACCTCCGTCACCTGCTCCTTCTTCAGTATATACTCCGCCGCCGGCTCCTCCTTCACGGTCTCCTTCCGTTGCTAGCTCAAAACTACCTCCAGTTCTTTCAGCTTCATCTAATCGGCGCCGGAAACAACAACAACCTAAGTTGCCTCATATTCTCTCGAGTCCTTCGTCTAGTGAGAGATCCAATTTCATGCCGAGTTTCTTCCCTACTGCTTACCAGAACTCTACTTACTCGGCGACTCCTTCTCAAGCTTCTTCCGTCTGGAATTGGGAGAATTTTTACCCTCCTTCACCTCCTGATTCCGAATTCTTCAACCGGAAATCTCAAGAGAGGAAACAACAGAACCGCTATGGCGATCTGGCCGACGGCGAGGATGCCGAAACAGAGAGATCGGAGCATGAATTTTTCCATATGAAGAAGGAGAAGCAGTTCGAGTCTATGAAAAGTGCGGTGGAGGAGGAAGAGGAGACGGAGCGAGAGGAGGTGCAGTGTAGCGAATGGGAGGATCACGATCATTACAGTACGACGAGCTCATCCGACGCTGCGGAGGAGGAGGAGGAGGAGGAGGAAGAAGAGGATAGAGAGTCAATGTCTGAGATCGGGACGCGTTCTGACTTTGGATCTTCCGTGAGGACTAGTTCGATGAGACGGCAGTATCACCAGCAGCAGCAGCAGCAGCCGCAGGAGTATGAAGGTGTTGCACAGGAGAAGTATCGCAAAGCAGATGACGCGACGTCTTCCGGCAGCTACAGAGGCGGAGGAGAGATAGTGGTGAGGCATAGAGATTTGAAGGAGATTGTTGATGCTATTAAGGAGAATTTCGACAAGGCGGCTTCCGCAGGCGATCAAGTCTCTCAGATGCTTCATCTTGGCAGGGCTCAGCTCGATCGCAGTTTCAGCCAATTGAAGAGTGAGTTTGATTTATGGCTCGCTTGATAATTTGAATTAGCTCAATTGTGAACGCAATTTGGAAGTTAACTTGAACTTGCATTGTGAATTTTGTGTTGTTTTAGAGACGGTGATTCATTCGAGTAGTGTATTGAGTAACCTGAGCTCAACTTGGACTTCAAAGCCGCCATTGGAAGTCAAGTACAGGCTTGACACAACCGCATTGGACCAACCGGGCGGCCCCAAGAGCCTTTCTTCCAGTCTAGACCGCCTCTTGGCATGGGAAAAGAAACTCTACGAGGAAGTCAAGGTCTTTCTGCTGTTTTATTCAATCAGTTTTTGTCATTTCTGATAGCTTTTGGTTTCACTAATCATTGGAGATACTAATGAACTTTCAGGCTAGAGAAGGGTTGAAGATTGAACATGAAAAGAAGTTGTCAAAGCTTCAAAGCCAAGAGTACAAAGGAGAGAATGAGATTAAGCTAGACAAGACAAAGGCCTCTATAACGAGGTTACAATCTCTTATTATTGTTACTTCCCAGGCCGTCAGCACAACATCTACTGCAATTATCCGCCTTCGAGATACTGATCTTGTTCCGCAGCTCGTTGAACTCTGTCATGGGTAAGTTGGCCTTGTTTGATTTTATCTAATTGTGTGTCAATGATTATACATTATTGAATGCGCTGTTAGTTGCAATCCTATCAGCAGCTTGCATTGACTTGTCTGTATCACAATTTATTCGTAGAGTCCGTATATATACTTAGACCTACTTTCACATCTATAATAGAATAATCGTGTGGACTCATCAAGTAGGTGAACATTTAATGAAAAAATTTCTAGCTGCAGCAATGAGTTGTCTCATGGCTTTCTGATGTCATTCTTTAGAGTTGTGGATTCCCTGATAAGATTGCTGCTTCTTAGAGTGAGACAAGATCCCTAACTCTCTTACATATTGTTAGAATTTTGAGATTTTGTAGCTTACCAAATAAGCTGCTGAATTGGTATGATTACAGGCTAAGTGTTATGATTAGGCTTATGGCTAGCCAATATCTAGTTCAGTGGAAATGAAGATCTAACTTTAGGTATTGTAATCGTTTGTTCTTTTTTGATAGAGATTATAAAATAATATGGCCCCCAATGTATGGCATGGTGATTTGGATTGGAACCTGCATTTTAAAGGTCCCCACCCAAGTTCAAATGTAGTAGTTGTAGTGAAGCCAAAGAAAATGAGAGATCGAAATACCTTTTTTTGACCAAAAAAAGTGGGAATAGTCTAAGACCATGCTATAATATTTGCTTTCATACCATCAGCTATGCAGTATTGGTACTTTCTTTGAAGACCAACGAATCACACGCAGATCTCTGATATTTTCTTTTGCAGCTTCATGTACATGTGGAAATCAATGCATCAATTCCACGAAATTCAGAACCACATCGTACAGCAAGTTCAGGGGCTCATTAACAGGTCAGGCAAAGGGGAATCAACATCTGAACTACACCGACAAGCAACACGCGACTTGGAAACAGCTGTGTCTTTATGGCACTCGAGTTTCTGTCGGCTGATTAAATTCCAACGAGACTTCATACATTCGGTTCAAGCCTGGTTCAAGCTAACTCTTCTTCCAGTTTGCCAAGACGACAATCCAAGTCACAAAGAGCCAGTAGACGCCTACGCATTTTGCGATGAGTGGAAGCTTACTCTAGACCGAGTCCCGGACACAGTGGCTTCAGAAGCAATCAAAAGCTTCATCAACGTTGTTCACGTGATATCCGCGAAACAATCCGAGGAGCTAAAGATAAAGAAACGAACCGAATCAGCATCAAAGGAGCTTGAGAAGAAAGCTTCATCGCTTAGAAACATCGAAAGGAAATACTATCAGTCATACTCCACGGTCGGGTTTGGTCTCCCAGATACAGGACCAGACAACGGACACATGTTAGATGCTCGGGACCCACTCACGGAGAAAAAGTTAGAGCTAGGAGCATGCCAGAGAAGAGTGGAGGAAGAACTGCTGAAGCATTCAAAGGCAATAGAAGTAACAAGGGCCATGACTCTGAATAACTTGCAGACAGGTTTGCCTGGTGTGTTCCAAGCTTTAACGAGTTTCTCTGCTCTGTTCACGGAGTCCTTACAAACGGTATGCACTCGCTCATACTCCATCAAATAGCACACTAAATTAAATACGTTTACTATACTATATAGTTGGAAAATACAAGACTATATAGTTACAATTTTCCTATCTTTATTTCTGCTTATTTCGGGCTTGGTTGTTTGATATAGTTGCTTGGATATTGCTTATTTCTGAAAAGAAAATGTATATACGTGGAGTCTCTAGGACTTGGCCTTTGATTTCTGGTTATGAAGGATTTTTGTTCATGTAGTTCCCAGCTACATGTTCTAATGAAATGAATAAAGACCAATCTCATGCTTGTTCGTTAATCGTATGTATAAGTGATAGAAGGTGATGATTACAATCTAGGACGTGGCCTCGAACCGTCTCCTTTTGGCATGAAACTGGTCGGTAGTATTTATGTAAATGTCTATAGTGGGTCCGTTTTCATCGGATTCCCTGAGAGATAGAGTTAGGATCTGACAAGTGATCATTTCTCTCTTCTTTGTCTTAAGCACATGGATGGGGTTCTTCTTGGTATATAGACTAAGGTTAACAAAAACAAGCATGGTTTATCTTTTAAATCATAGCCGATTCCCATATTGTGATCTATAATATATTGGAAATGTTGATGTTGAGATCAAGCAAATAATGCCGACTCTTTTAAACAAAACAACACACACAAATGCCAAAATCAGTTCAGTTTTGGGATTAGAATATACAGAAAATATTGGATCCTGGATTCGTTTTAAGATAATGTTAACTTTTGGGACCACAAAAATGTTCATATAGATGTACCCAAAACACAGCAGTGACTGAGACATTACGATCTATTAGTTACTATGTGTAGAGAAAGGATTCCGACAAACCTAACAGTACTAGTACCAAAGGAGATTTTCTTAATTAATTTCGACTTGGGGCTTCCCATGTCCTTACAAAAGGGTTTGTTCCATGGAAGAAAATATAATCTCCAATACAAAAAAAAAAAAAAAAAAGACCTAAGTTACTATGAGAAATGAACCCTCACTCTTGATCTATTAAAGCTTGAGGCGTGGTTACAATATATAGCTGACATAAAAGACTAAAAATGGCTAATAAGGAACCAAAACACAAACTCTTGGAAGCTTTAGAAAAACTCAAAGTCTAGAAATTTACCACCAGATTTCGTGTCTGCTGCTGCTGATACTGCTGGTGGTCCCATCATCCTTTTGCTATTACTACCAAACCCAACCGGATCAATCGGTCCATACTTTGGTGGCGGTTCGGTCTCCATCTGTCTCGGTACTTCAGGTGGAGTGCTACACCTTATCAATGCCCAATTCACACCTTCAAAGAATGGATGCTGCTTTATCTCTGTTGCTCCTCTCTTTGTCCCTAACCTGTTCTTTGGATCTTTCACCAGTAAAGCCTGTATCAAGTCCCTGCCTGCGTAGCTAGTTGCTGGTGACTCAGGGAATTTCAACTGTTCGCCGACTACATTGAACAGAGTAGCTCGATTTCCTGATCCTTTGAACGGGGTTTTCCCGTATAGGAGCTCGTGCACGAAGATACCAAAAGTCCACCAATCCACTGCGCTTCCGTGTCCTTCTCCTTTGATGATCTCTGGAGCTAAGTACTCGTGGGTTCCAACAAAGGACATGGACCGTGTGTTAGGTTCAGCTACTAGCTCTGGGAGAGAACCAGAGTGTGATTTGAAGAAATCCGTCTGGGTTTTACGGGACTTGTTCTTTTTGTTTTTGTTAGGGAAGATGCTGCGCGGTAAGAAGCATGAGGGTTGGATGATGCAAGCTGATGTAGGCTCGATACAAGCGGGTTGAACGCAGAATGCGCCACGTCTAGATGGATCGGAGTCGAATGTTTTGATCAGTGTTGGAGAAACCGCGCATCTCAAGGAGAGATCAAAGTCTGAAAGCATTATGTGACCATCATCTCGAACCAGAACATTCTCAGGTTTCAAGTCTCTGTAAACAACACCAAGCATGTGGAGATACTCGAGCGCTAGCAACACCTCTGCAGCATAAAATCTGGCCAAAAAATAAATGTGAAACATCTAAAGAAAGTGAGATAACGGTGAATGAAATTTACGTTCAAGAACATTGAAACTAATAAAGAAAACATACCGAGCAGCATACTCCGAAAAATGCTTCCCGGGTTGACGTTGCCTTAGAGTGTGCAGATCCCCTCCAGGACAGTATTCCATGACCAAACACGAGAATCTGTCAGTCTCAAAATGAGTGTACAATGTCGGTAGAAACGGATGATCCAGTAGTTGTAGAATATCCCTCTCGGTCTGAGCTCGATTCAACTTCTTCCGGTCCTCAAGAGATGCTTTATCCATGACTTTCACAGCAAAATGGCACCGAGTTCCGCTTAATTCAGCCAGATAGACACTCCCAATATCACCACAACCTAACCGTTTCAGCAACTTGAAGTGGCTCATTCCCAAAATCCCATCTCGGGTTCGGATAGCCAAGATAGCATTCCACCAAGGATCATTCCCTTTGTGTGGTTTATTAAGGCTTCCCGTGAAATTGCTCCAGCTGCTCTCTTCGCTTAGGCCGCTACTATCGCTTGCTCTGCTTGCACTGGTCTTGGTGCTTTCAAACGAATCCAAAACCATACTGATACTCCTGTCACAGTAGTTCTTGTCCATACTAAGCACAACATCGCTCCGCTGAGTAGTACTTGTTGCAGAAGAGCTATTAGCAATACTCATAGCCCGGGCGAAATTCATACTTTCAACACTACTGCTATGTGGGCTCACATTGGTACTGGGAGGCAAAGAAGCATCCCAAACACATTCTTTGTCTGAATCTGGCGGTAGCAGAGAGTTTTCAGTGTTCTGCGATGCACGAGCCACAGAGAACGGGGACAGCGATATAGCAGGTTCCTCAACTATGCTTTCTGCAGGTGAGAGGACTCCTGGGCTTAGCTTCTTCGGAGGCACGCAGAGGGAAATATCCTCGATAAAGGGTCCTTTAGTAGTAGACATGCTCTTCGGTTTGCTTTTTTCGCCGATGGGCACATAAACAGTTGTTATAAGATCCATGTCGTCAGGCTCAGGAGGATGACTAACTCCACGGAAGGAGCTAGAACCAGCTTCCTCAGACATATCATTGCTTCCCTTACAAGTAACATCATCATCAGCAGCCCCAATTTCTTCAATCTCCAACAAAGGATATTTCGCCTTCATCGTTCTAACAGACGATACAACAGGCTCAAACTCCTGAAAATCATTCATGTTACCACCAAACTGAGTCATTATCATATCTTCTCTTTGCACATTCAGAACTTGGCTTAGTTCTCTCCCCAATGTCGTAGTTGGATTTACTGATCTTCCCGTGTTGTATCGAGCAGCTCGTTCCCTCAAAGTCTCCAAATGCATACCATTGGCATTTCCATTAAACGTATCTCTAGTTTCCAAGTCTAAGTATGGTCTTCTCGATAAGTGACCAGAGACAGGACCTTTACTAGGAAGTCTCTTGAGCTCAGCAACTCTTTCCATTTCCAGCATTCATGCAATCTTTAACACCAAACCCAAATCTCTCTTTCCCTACAAAAGCAAATAACGTCAACTAAATCAATCTCTGACCTCAATTAACCCAAGCTCACTAGAAAGATACAAACAAAACCCACCAGCAATTTCGGGACCATATTCAGAAATCTTGTCGGCAAATATATAATTAAACACACAACAATAGTAACACGTGATTTGGGAATAAACCTCAGGACTAATTCTCATTTATGGTATCAAGACAAATAATAAGAACACGAGTGTGTGCTTGTGTTTGTCTCTGTGTGTGCGTCCTAACATTTTTTCCAATGTTCGATCTGAAATTTCCAGAAACCTTTGTCGAGAAAACAGGAGTTTCTTTCTGGAGTGGATAAAGAAAACATCATAGGGATTATTAAACTCTATCATACAACAGAATCAATCAAAACCCACGAAAAATCCCAAATAGAAAACGACAAAGGAAAGAGATTTCAAAATCTTCACTAACCGGAAACAAAGAGACGATTATCAGTGTGATTCCCGAGATCGAGAGGTTTTTCCGGTACAATGTAGACGATACAGTGAGAGATTTAACACCGGAAAAATGTTCCAAAAGGAGGAGACTTTCTCTATGAAAATCGAATTAAAGCAGAGATTAGGAAGAAAAACAAAAAACCCTCAAAGGAGAGAGTCTCTGGGATTTGGGAGTGGTGAGAGAGAGCTCAAAGGCTTTTGCTTTATGTGTGTGTGGGCGCTATCTAGCTGCTGCTGCTGCGACTACTGACGGTAACGGAGAAAGCTAAAAAAAAAAAAACAAAATTTAACTAAAAAAATAAAATGGCAAATAGAGAGAGTGGGGTCCATTGGAGTGTAGGGTCCAGTAATTAAAGTAGGACCCACATGTGTTCCTTGTTCTACCTACAATTACAAAATTTGTTTGAGACGTTTCTTCTTCTTGTTTATGGTTTTGATCAAAGGTTTTTTCTTTGAGAGATTCCGTTTATCTTTTGTGTCGTTAATTAAGATCGATGTCTTTATTCAATTTGTTAGCTTGATTCCACAATCTTTGATTAAACACTTTTGATTAGACATAAATGTTGGTAAATTTGTTAGTATGAAACAATAGTTGTTCACATTTAAAACAAAATTGAAATACATATTTTTTTTGTTGTTGTTGTGAGAGAGAAGATGAAGAAACTATTCCTTTTGTTGTGTAATAAAATATAGAAAATGGAATAGTGAAAGAAAGAGACAAAGAATCAAAGCCTTGTGGATTTGTGAAATAACACTTTTTTGACGCACCAGCGCATAATATTGATTAGCTTTTTCTTATTTTTCTACCCAATTCCCATCACTTTTCTTTTCTTTGCCTTTTGTTTTTGTTTTTTGTTTTTCCTCTACTCAAGATTTTGTCTTCATTTGAACATGTGTTCTTTGAAATCTAAATGCAAGCAACTCGAAGAACAAGTGAAATAGAAAGAAAATTAACAATGAGTGGTGTAAGTGCAATAGAGAATGTAAGAAGAGTAACACAAATATGTACAATCATCACTTAGAATATTAACTTTTAAAATTCATTATGATGAGAGTTGCATGGGTTTAAAAATGAATATAGACTTGGTGATAAAGTTACGAATTTGGTTCAAATCATTTAGAGAGAAGTGTATTGACACAATGACACATATGGCAATGAATTGAGTTTCTTGAAAAGATAAAATCACTAGTTTAATTAATCTTGTCTCTCCAATTCCACTAATTTGTCTGCTCTCTCTTTATTATGCCATATTGGAACAGTTGAGTTTCAATTGACATTATGTGTTTGAAA